CTACGAACGCGAATTGTCGCTCTTGATATGCCGGGCTGAATCCTACTGTTGTGCCTGCGGGGCCGCTCGATTTTGACTCGCTGAGTAGGCAGGACAATGCAACTTGGGCCAGAACTTCATTCTCCACAGGCTCCTTTGCGAATAGTTCTGCCTTGTGTTTATCGATATAGCCCGTTTCGACATTGCCGGAGACAAAGTCTGGGCTCTTGCATACCCGTTTCAGGAATTCGATGTTTGTGATTGGTCCCGCCACTTCATACTCTTCCAGCGCCATGGATAGATTTCGCAGAGCTTCTGTCCGATTCGCGCCTCTGACGATCAGCTTCGAGATCATAGGGTCGTAATGCGAAGATACTTCATCTCCAGCAACGAAACCAGCGTCAATCCGCACGTCCTCTGAAGCTGCAGGAGTGCGAACATGCAACAGACGGCCTGAATCCGGAACGAATCCCTGATCGGGGTTCTCAGCGTAAATACGCGCCTCGATGGCGTGGCCCTTCGTAGCCATAATAGCCTCGATCTCATCCTGCGTCAGAGGCAACGGGGCACCCTCCGCAACCAGAATCTGCCAATGGACCAGATCCTGTCCCGTAACCATTTCCGTAACCGGATGCTCGACCTGTAACCGGGTGTTCATCTCCATGAAGAAAAACTCGCCCGTGTCATTGTCGAAGATGAATTCCACCGTTCCCGCTCCCTCGTAGCCAACAGCCAACGCCGCAGACCGCGCTTTATCCCAAATATCCTTCCGCGTCGCCTCAGGCAGATGCGGGGCGGGGGATTCTTCAAGGATCTTCTGGTGACGGCGCTGGATGCTGCAATCTCTCTCGCCCAACGCAACACAGTTCCCATGCTTATCCGCAAACACCTGCACCTCGATATGTCGCGGGGTCGTAATATATTTCTCAACCAGCATCGTGTCATCGCCGAAGGAGTTCATCGCCTCCGACTTGGCTGAGATAAGCTGGTCCCGGAATGTCTCTTTGGAGCTGGCGATCCGCATGCCCTTGCCACCGCCACCCTTCACGGCTTTGATGAGGACTGGGAACTTGATCTTCTCCGCCTCCGCTTCGAGGAAATCCATATTTTGATTCTCGCCGTGATAGCCCGGCACGCAGGGGACGCCTGCTGCTGTCATGATTTCCTTTGATCGACTACACGTCCTCAAAATAAGCATGTAACCCATTGGAAGTAAATATATATATTATGCGTATGCCCACATACCTCTTATCACCCATAGCCTCAATAGCCTTAGGCGGTGGGCCAATGAAAACAAGACCTGCTTGCGTGCATTTCTGCGCAAAGGCCGAGTTCTCACTCAACTGAAAGTTTTTGAAATATCGTCAGCCCACAAATCCAAAACAAATACAGAAGCTTTTAAGCTCTTAAAAAATCCACCCCCACTGGCCAAACAAGTAAAAACGGTACAGAAAGATTTAAAAAAAAAAAAACCATTAACTACTCACAAACCCATAACCGGGATGTATGCCCTGGCAGCCCTCCTTCTTCGCAATCTCAATTATCCGATCTCCATCGAGATACGCAGAGGTGTCACCCAGATTGAACGCGAACGGGGAGCTAAGGGCGTGTTGGGCCCGCGCATCCGGGTCCGTGTAGAGAGTCGTTACTCGAATGCCATGTTGTGAAGCTGTTCGTCCTACTCGTCTGTAACATAAAAAAAAAATTAAAAAAAACAAGACGTACGTCAGCCCCGTTCGTAGACTCCCAAGAAGTGTACATGTATGTATATGTAGATAGATCCAACTCACAGCGCGATCTCGCCACGATTGGCGATGAGGATGGAACTGAGCGCCTTGATCTCGGGGCCATTTGACAGCGCGGAATTGGCACGGACTGTTGCTGCTGTTGGTTTGAGGATAGCCGCCCTTGTCCCCAGGCGGGAGGTGGTGGAGGGGAGTCGAGAGATGAAAGACATTCGGGCTGGTGTCCTCATGGATAGAATATATCAATCAAATGTGCCACCCCCCCCGGAGGTTCTATAGATATAGGAATTAAGAAAGAAGCGTGTGAAAGGTATCGTCGTGATGATCAATTGTATGCATAACATGAGGAAATAAAAAACATCAGCGTAAGTTCTCACAAGCTCTGTACACCGTCAGGATCACAGATCATATGGGATGTTGGTTTGATGTTGCAACCCGGAATCCAAGTTAAGAATTAAAAAAAAAAAAACACGATTTGTTGTTTTGGCCGATGGAAAGCGCTGGATTGGCGCGGGGGATGAAATCGGGAAGGTCAGCCGAGCCCGAGAGTTCTCCGGGGCTAAGCTAGATTTGCGGGGCCCCGTGACTCGGCAATGGGCTAGAGGGTGCCAAGAATTCCGAGCCGCGGAGAGAGGAAATTACCTAAAACGGGTTGAGAAGGACTGCGGTGTCGTGTTTGATTGGTTAGGAGGGAGGTGAAGATGCGGAGCGCTACTTCGAAACACCTCTTCCGCTGCTCCATGATGGAACTGCTACGGTTGCATTATGTAGCCTGCTCCAAAGGGAGGTGAATAGGCCGACAGGAACATTCACGGGGATAAAAAGCCTGTTGCTGTGTTGATCCACATGTTTAAATTGTGCATTGTTGTAGATGATAACAAATAAGTGATTACTTAAACAACAAGGGGCCGATAGTTTACCTGACGTATGTATATCGCGAAATCCGCATCACAGAAAAAAGGGGGACTCCCAGAAATAGAATAATAGCTGTACTCAAATCATATCCACCGCCATACGCCATGGAAGGACAAAAACAAGAGAATCTCAATCCATTTGTCCCAACCTAGTTCCACCAATCAATTCACATGTGTATCCATCCCCCTTGCTCTAAAAGCCTCTAAAAAAACTACAACTTCTTCTTCTCTCTCAAAGACCGTCGTGCCCTGGTAATAGGTATCCCCGCCTCTTTCTTGCTTTTGCCATTATCACGACCGTCACCGTCACCGTCACCGTCACCGTCATTTTCATTTTCTCGCTTCCGCCTCGTCGCAACTCGCTTCGATCTCGTCTTCCCACCCTGCTGATCTCCGTGAGCGCTATCGGGGGGACTAGACGCTTTTCGTTTCCGACCTTGGCGATGATGAGTGCGGGGCGAGCTGCCCGCTCTGGCTAGGGGTATATTATCGGTACTGTTAGTTTCGGTATAGCTATCTTGTAACAGAGTGCCGGGTTCCATTACATCTTTCCCGTTGTGCAAGATTGAGGTTGTGGGTTGTGTTGCTATCGTTGTCGTTGTCGTTGTCGCCGCTGCTGTTACTGTGCTGAGGGCGGTGGAAAGATGGCCGGAACGCTGTTGCTTGGAGCTCGCTGTTGGCAAGGATGGCGATACCAACACCGGAGGGAGTGCTGGGATTTCCTCCTGCGCTGAGGCGGACATGACGGATTTGAGATGTGATCCAGTGCGCCTATTGTGACCCTTGTCATTGGTGTTGTTGGCACTGCGGGATGGCACCGTCGTTGTCTTCTTCCGTGATTTCTCATAAATCTCCTGCTGGGATGCGGGCAGAAAAGACGGAGGCGGGGTTTTATATCCTCCATCGTCCTCGTCATCCTCACTACCATCTCCATCTCCTGCAAATTCCAACCCCTCTTCACTATTCCCCTCGCTATCAAATATAGGCGCGTTAACAACCCCACCAATTCGGGCACCCAAATTCCGCTTCTCTGTTATCTTCCTGAGGCGCGCTGGCTGTTTCCTAACAGAGGCAGACTTCGAGAACGTGGACGACGGAGGCGAGACACGGGGAGGAGAAGGAGAAGCAGACTTCTGAAGCCTTTGGCCCCTTTTCGGCTGCGAATCTTTAAATATCTCCCGCCAATTCTTCAACAGCGCCACCTTCTCGCCATGTCCCGGCTCATACAGCTCACCCTGGTCAACCAGGAAGCCGGACGGCCGCCAGAGTATGCGGCAGAAGGACTCGGAAGTGTCCTCCTCCTCATTAATGTTATCATCATTCCCGGCGCGCTTCTTGTTCTTCCTGTTCTTCTTCTGCTTCCCGCCCCGCATGCCTGTGGGGGGGGATGACGCGGTTGATTTAAGGCTGTGCTCGTGCAGAACGGACAGGTCGTCATCGAAGTACTCGTCCGTGTAGTAGTCCCAGTCCGACGCGCTGTCAATTGCATCATAAGCGCCCTGGTCCATGTAGACGGGAGAATGCATTGTGCCTTCTGCTAGATCGTCCTATAAAATAAATGAATAAAAAAAAAAAAGGAAAGCAAATTCCCTTTTTCTCCCGGAAAAGGAGGAAGGGAATTTGCCCGAGTTTTTTTTTTATCTCTTTTTCAGCTTGATGAACATATATAAAATCAACCATGAATATTTCAGGGGTGAGGAGTATGAGTATGGTTGGAGGGGCGCGTTTTGAAGGAATATAGCATGGATGGGATGGGATGACATGACTGACCGCAAGCTCTCGCTCCCCTTCATCGCCCCAGAACCAATCACCATCGAAATCATCGTCGTAGTAATCCTCGTCATCAGACATTGTTCCTGTAACGGGAGTGTTCCTTTTCTACTCTTTGATTTGATTTATCCTCGTTTGAAAAATGTAGTATGACATAAATATATCAATGTCGAGCAAGGGCCGGGAGCTGACAAAACAAAAAGAGAGCGGGGCTGCTCGTTTCAGCCAAAAACCTCAGCGCGGCTAAGCTAGATTGTGAAAGAATATCTATCTAACCGCCTCTGTGCCTTGGAAGGGTAACTGTACTTCAAAGTAGTTATGCAAAAGGGAGCAAACAAGCAATAGTGAGGGTGTTTTGTATAAAGAGAGTAGTAGTAGTAACAGCAACAGCAGCAGCAGCAGCAGCAGCAGGCAGTTGCCAGCACACGCGGCAGTAAAGGTAGATAGATAGTTCAGTAACTAACTTGCAGTGAGTTGGAAGTTGGGGGAATTCTGCTGCCAAAGAGCAACTTATAATAACTTATTAACCACTTGCTCCCTAACGGCATCCGGTTTAAGCGTAACCCCGCCACGCTAAACTTGTTCTCGTTCTTGGTGGCTGTAGCTTAATTTCTTGGTGGAACTGTTGGTGAGGGGTGTAAGGAGATAGATCTTATCATATTCATCGGAGCTGTTTATATATATATGGAAAATAATTACCCTCTGCCTACACATTGAGATGGAGTATAGCCAACTGAGATAGTTTCACAAAACAAACAAACCGTCCTATCAATGGCAAACGAAACAAGGTTCTCTCTATAGTATACCTGCATACGGAGTATATAGGGAAAAAATAGAAAAGATAAGAAAGACAAATACAATGAAAGAAAATCCCGCATCGAACCCTAAAATCTACAAGTATTCCTTATTGAACACCCTCCCAATCAACATCCTCCGAATCTCACTCGTCCCCGCCCCAATCTCATACAACTTGGCATCCCGCAGCAGTCTCCCCGCAGGAATCTCATTGATATACCCGTTCCCGCCCATCAGCTGGATGGCGTCAAGTGCACACTCCGTCGCGCGCTCGGCAGCATACAGGATCGCACCAGCGCAGTCCTGAGTGCGGATGGCGCTGTTGCTTGCCTCGCTGCTGGAGGCCGCGGCCTCATCGATTTGACGGGCCGTGGTGTAGGTGTACGCGCGCGATGCGGAGAGCTTGGTGTACATGTCTGCGAGTTTACCCTGGATGAGTTGGTTGCGGGCGATTGGGATGCCGAATTGTTTGCGGGTGTGGGTATATGGTAGCACAAGGTCAAGGGCCGCTTGCATGATTCTAAATAAGAAGAAAAGGACGGCAACGCGGGGGGGGGGGCGTGTGCCGGAGGGGTTTGTTCAGTTAGCAAACGCTGTGTACATTATCGGTGGGAATTTTCGGCTTTGACGCTATTTCCCGCTACCTCAACTTCTTATATTGAATGGTAGCAGGGGTTCAATCGCTTACCCAAGTGGTCCTGCGCTGAGGACGAGACGCTCCAAGTCAAGCCCCTCCATAAGCACCTTCACGCCGCGATTAAGCTCCCCCAGCATATTCTCCCGTGGCACGAACACGCCTTCAAAGATTAACTCGCCAGTATTTGAACCTCTCATGCCGAGCTTGTCGAGTTTCCGAGCGCAGGAGAAGCCCTTGAATGTCTTCTCAACAACGAAAGCAGTGATACCCTTTGAGCCCTGGTCAGGCTTTGTTTTGGCGTACACAACTATATAGTCGGCATCGGGTCCCTACAGGTCATGCGAGCAAAAGACAAATTTAGAAAATTATATTCCATTGTCATGGGTTGATGACACGCAATTGGGGTTAGCTAGTGTGGTACTCACGTTGGTAATCCACATCTTTGTCCCGTTAAGCAAAAATCCTCCATCCACAGCCTTAGCAGTGGTCTTCATGCTGACGACATCCGAACCTGCAGAGTGCTCTGACATTGCCAGCGCACCAATCTTCTCCCCTGAGATCAGACCTGGGAGAAATCTGGCTTTCTGTTCCGGGCTGCCATTCAGAGAGAGCTGGTTAACGCAAAGTTGGGAGTGGGCCGCGTAAGATAGACCAATGCTGCCTATTGTCCAAGAGTTAAAGGATTTGTCAGTGTATTATATCCCATTGTATACGAGCCCTAGCCGCCTAGAGAGGTATATGCACCTGAAGCCCGGCTAATTTCCTCCAAAACGACGCAATGCGCTTGGTAGCCCATTGATAGACCACCATACTGTTCATCCGCCGTGACACCTAGGAACCTTTGATTCAAAGAAAAATGGCCAGTCAGTACAAGCGGATACCAACTTAAACCACTCAAGAAGTTGGTGGCTTACCCAGCCTCTCCAAGCTTCTGCCACATGTCGGCGGGGAAGTCATTCTGGAGATCTGTGCGAGCAGCGACCTCTTCCGGAATCTCTCGTCCTGTGTAGCAGAGCACGCTTACTATTATTAGCCCTCCACTCAATGGACGAGAACGTTAACAATATCACAAAAAAGACACCCATACTTGTAAATTCTTGAACTCGCTCTCTCAGTTCCACTAGTTCCTCGTGTGTTGGTGGCACAAAACCCTGTGGATGCATTGTTGACGCCGCGCGCCATTGGGGAAGCTGGACCACCTGCCTCCGCGGCCTGCAGAAAGTTCTGGAAGCGCGGCCAAGCAGGCGAGGAAGACAGGGAGATGCCATATCGGGAGGCGCGTGAGAGTAGAATGGTAGAAGGGATGAGGAGTATACAGATACGCCTATTATTTGTCAAGAAAGCAGCCAAAAGCAAAACATAAGAAAAAAAAAATACAAACAAGTCAGACCAGAATCAATCGATCGATCTCCGTTGCCGAGCTTTCGGCAGACCTTCCCGATTGGGTGATGCCGAAACCCCGAGCTGCGGCTGCCGTCGGCTAACTGGCCCTGAGCCGGATCACGGGGGACGCAACGCAACTCTCCGCCTTGACAACACCCGAACATCGTTCCTTTTTTCTATACAACTTTTTTTTTTTTTCTTTTCTTTCTTTTTACCACTTCCAATTTGTTTTTGTGAGATATATACCCCGTGGGGGAGTGAGGGTTTGTTTATGTTGCTTCTGGCTCTATGATATGACAGAATAACCCAACTTATTTCTAATTCCTTCGTTGATCGCCCCTTGGTCATGGCTACCTCAATCCGTGCTCCCTCCACAATGCTCCTCCGCAGCCTTCGCACTGCCCTGACATCCAGTCGCCAATTGCGAATAGCGGCGCCTCGTGGTGCAATTGGCTCCCGCCAGAGCACAAGATCAATTTCCAATTACACGCATTCGCACCAGTCATCGGCTATATCTGTCCTGCCAACATCTGTCGACACCTCGTCGGCAGATTTCAAAGAGAATGCCGCTCAGATGGATGAGCTTCTGGCCAAAATGACTGATCTTCATTCCAAAATTGCCAAGGGAGGTCCTACAAAAGCGCAGGAAAAGCACATTGCTCGCGGAAAGATGCTTCCTCGAGATCGCGTCACGTCGTTGATTGACCCGGGAACTTCATTCCTCGAGCTCTCCCCGCTGGCAGGATACCAGGTTTACCCCGGCGAAGATGTTCCCTCGGGCGGTATCATCACCGGTATTGGAACAGTTGAGGGAGTCTCCTGCATGATCGTAGCAAACGATAGCACGGTCAAGGGAGGCACCTACTACCCCATCACGGTCAAGAAGCACTTGCGCGCACAGGCAATCGCCCAGGAGAACAAGCTGCCTTGTATCTACCTGGTTGACTCCGGCGGAGCCAACCTCCCCCACCAAGCAGACGTCTTCCCGGACAGAGACCATTTCGGTCGCATCTTCTTCAACCAGGCTAGAATGAGTTCTATGGGCATCCCGCAGATTTCTGTAGTTATGGGACCATGCACGGCAGGCGGAGCGTACGTCCCCGCCATGAGCGATGAATCCATCATCGTCGAGAACCAAGGCACCATCTTCCTCGCTGGCCCGCCACTCGTCAAAGCCGCTACCGGAGAGGTTGTATCCGCTGAAGACCTTGGCGGCGGCCACCTGCACAGCTGCGTCTCCGGCGTCACCGATTACCTCGCCGTCGATGACGCACACGCCCTCGTCCTCGCCCGCAGATCGATCTCCAACCTCAACTGGCCCAAAACCACCCTCCCACTCCTACCCTCCCCCGCAAACCCAGCCTCCACATCCTCCATCTCCTCCACGATAAAAGAACCCCTCTACGACCCCGCCGAACTCTCCGGCATCGTCGGCACGAATCTCCGGCGCCAAATACCCGCCCACGAAGTCATCGCCCGCATCGTAGATGGCAGCGAGTTCGCCGAATTCAAGCGCGACTACGGCAGCACACTGGTCACGGGCTTTGCGCGCATCTACGGCATGCAGGTCGGCATCGTTGCGAACAACGGCATCCTCTTCTCCGAGTCGTCACTCAAGGGCGCCCATTTCATCCAGCTGTGCGCCCAGCGCAATATCCCGCTGATCTTCCTGCAAAATATCTCTGGTTTCATGGTTGGCGCGGATGCGGAGAAGGGCGGCATTGCGAAGAATGGAGCTAAGCTCGTGACGGCCGTGGCGTGTGCTGATGTTCCTAAATTCACTGTTGTGTTTGGCTCCAGCGCTGGTGCGGGCAACTATGGAATGTGGTATGTCTCCTCTCCTTATCCCTTCCTCCTCTTTCTTTAATCCTTCAACAAAAATTTTCAATTGTTTAATCCAAGCTAACCACCCAACCAGCGGCCGCGCCTACTCCCCCCGCTTCCTCTACATGTGGCCCAACGCCAAGATCGGCGTGATGGGCTCCGAGCAGCTCTCCTCAGTCATGGAGGCTGTGGGCCGCACGGTCGACCCGAAGCTGAAGGAGCGCATCGACACGGAGTCCGAGGCGACGTTCTCGTCGGCACGGTTGTGGGATGACGGCGTGATTCCGCCGGCGCATACGCGGATGGTACTCGGGTTGAGTCTTACGGCTGCGCTGGGCGGGAGGGCTGAGGAGGTGAAGACGAAGTTTGGGGTTTTTAGGATGTGATGATGGTTTGAAGCGGGATTGGTTTTATTATTATTTTACCTTCGTCCCATTTCCTTTCGTTTTATTATTCCCTTTGTGTGTGTGTGTGTGTGTGTGTGTGTGTACGTATGTATCGACAGCACTTATATATGAGATTTTTCCATATGATCGTTTTATACTCTCTGACTAGAAAAAAAAAACATTATATTATGCACTTAGATGGAGGTATTAACTATTACCATTTCTCCCTTTGAGTAACACCTCTCGCCTCCGGGTTTATCTTACCGCTCCAGAAGACGGCTGGAGTTAAAACAGGTGGGAAGGTCATACATAGATAGATAGGGGAAATAGAGTTTCTACGGCGACACATACCCTAGGCGTATGAACATCGTATGTGTGTGTAGACGAAGGAGGTGGTGATAGATAAGAAAGAGCAAGAGCCACAAAGGAACGCTTTTCTCAAGTACAATTGTAAAAAATGATTTGAAAATGAAAGAAGAGGAAAGTTGTTCCTCCTTCTCTTCCTTTCCCCCCCTTCTCTCCCGCGCGGGTGGTTGATTAGACGCCAACACTTTGCTTTGCTTTATCCACAACGTACGGTACCTCAGATCCCTACATAATTTCACATTTTCACATATTCTCTCACCTCACCAAACCAAACCACCAAATCAAGAAAAAAAAAAAAAAAAGAAAAAGAAAAAGAAGAAAAAAACAAACAGCTCATCCAATAAGTCCACCAATATTCAGACCTGCTATTCTTTATATATGTATGTAGACATGTATACAAGAGTATTTTACCACGTCTGTTGAAAACCCTCCGACATATACACAGACCCCCCCCGTACACACAAAAAAAGAAAAAAGAAAAAGGGGGGAAAAAGGGGTGAAGGAAGACAATGTGCAAAAAAAAAAAGGGACTTTATATATATAGATAGAAATTTTGTTTCATCCATGTGAACATTTCAGATGGCGTGGCGGGTCGTTAATAGTTGGGCAATTTGATGAAAGTGAAGGGAGGAAATGACGTTATATAGATAGAGAGAAAAGGGGAAGTTGGAAAAATGGATAATGGAGACAAAAAAAAAGAGGGGGAAAGGAAATATATATGGCCTAACGAAGACAAAAGAAAAATATCATCCCATTGCCTTTTTCTTTTTTTTTTTTTTCTTTCTTTCGTTGAGCAACAAAAAAAAAAAAAAAAAAAAAGAAAATTCTGTCCAGGTAGATAAAGTAAAAAGAGAAATGGGGGGGGGGGGAGAAATATCATAAACAGAATAGAAAAAGGCCCAGTAAAGAAAAGGGGTAAGTAAGTACGAAGAGCCATATATCATGTATATAAATAAAGAAAAAGAAAAAAGGAAAAAAACCCCATTTCAACGAAGAGGAAGGGAGAAAAGAAAAAAAAAAAATCACAAAATCACACAGTCCCCTTTTGCCTTCGCTCTCCTCCGATTCCTTAACCGCCCACCACTTTGTCGACTCTGACCTTCCGACCCGCCAATCCCACCACCATCTGCTCCACCACCGCCGCCACCGCCACCACCACTCCTCCCATTCATCGCCAGCTCCATACTCCGCTCCTGACTCGCCTGAATATCCTTGCGGATAATCTGCCGACACAGGTCGATGAAGACCTCGTTGACGTTCGCACGGCGGCGGGCGGAGGTTTCATAGTACGGCGAGTTCCCCCACTGTTGGGAGAGGGCGAAGGCGCGCGATCGCGAGACGGCGCGGTCTTCCTCGAGGTCTGATTTGTTGCCGACGATGACGATGGGGACGTTCTCGTCGTCTTTGATGCGGATGATTTGTTCGCGGAGTTCGGCGAGTTCGGAGAGGGAAGAGGTGGAGGTTATGGAGAAGACGAGCAGGAAGCCTTGGCCTTGTTTCATGTAGAGTTCTCTGGGGTTGGGGGTTAGATGGGGTTTTCTCTTTTAATTCTCTCGGTTACTTTTTATGTTTTTTTGCTGCGGTTTTTCTTTTTGGGTAAGATGCATGTTGGAGGAACGGGGTAGAGGTCTAAAAAGGGGAGAGATCGGAATGTATGTCGATGGTACATATCTCGAAAACCCAAAAAAAAAAAAAAAAAAAAAAAAAAAAAAAAAAGTAAATCAAAGAAACGTGGGGTACAAAATGCAGAAAATTCATACCTCATCGCAGCTAGAAGTAGACCATCAGATTACAATCCAATCCAAGGGTATGTAGAAGAGGGAATCATCAACTCACTAAATTGTTCAGTGCCCGCAGTATCTAATCTGCACAGCAGTTAGAATATAAAAAATTAAGAATTAGCCGTTCGTTTCCCAAGACAAGCCCCTAGAACATGAAAAAGGTTATATATATCCCAAAATCCTTTGCTCCCGCAGGTTCCCTAATCCGATTCAAACCTCACCCTCCTACTGGGGGGTGAGGAACCGCGTTTTGGGTGGGTGTGGGTGTAGGTGCAAAAATGGCCGGTGTTTTACGTACATCTCCAGAACACATTGTCGTCCCTAAATGGAGAAATAAATAAATAAATAAGAAAAGGATTTTTTCCAAAAAAAAAAAAAAAAAAAAAAAAAAAAGGATTGATGAGCGGAACTGGCCCGCAAGCAGAAGAGGTCGGGAATGTTGTTGGGGTCGCGACACTCACATCCACTTCGATCAGCTTGCGATATGAGTCTTCGATAGTCGGGTCATAACTTTCAATCCAGACATTTTGGACGAATTGAGCTGCGGAAATTTTTCAATAAAGAAGAGTTGTGTTAGAATAGGACAAAGCTGTAAAAAATAATTTATTGCTTTTTTTTCTTCTTATTTTCTTTTCTTTCTTTTTGAGAGGCGGAAGTACAACCGCACATATATGGGCGGGAATTAAATGACGACACTTGGAGCATGGGGATGGCGTGGGGTGGGGGGGGGGGGCCGGATATGATATAGGTACCCGTTAGACAACTTTTTCCAACTCCGCCTATTTTTTTTAACAAAAAATACATCCAAGAGACCCAAACATCAGTGGATTTGTTTGTACCGAAGAGACGCGAGGGTAGGCTTTTTCATACCAGCTCCGAGTACCACTATGTGATACTCCCTTCTTGAGTGGAAAGACAGCAGCATGTCAGCCACGTTTGCCAGGTTAGGTTGCGCAGTGGGTGTGGCTGATTAACCGATCACCCCGGGGATTTATTATAGGGGGAATAAAGGAAACCTCCACTTACCTTGGCTGTAATTTCAGATTTGAATTCATTGTGATCGACCGAGGCGGTTTTGTTTTTAAATAGCCGTTTTGCAGGAAGGGATGACGCTAGAAGAATTAAGGGGAGAAAAAAATAAAAATTAATAAAATAAAAATAAAAAAATAAAAATAAAAAAATAAAAAAAGATCGCACGGTCTAGTTCCTGACTATTAGGACGCGCAGAAATACTAGCTAGAGCAGTTCGGGGGGATCGTGTGGAGAGAGGTTTTGGGGCGTCCGGTAGCGGGGAGAAAAGGGGGTGGAGAAAGAACCGGGGGATCTGTCTTGCTCTTTTTTGGTCCTATAGCGATTCGATATCTGTGGGAGAAGAAGCAGCAAATAATAGTCTAGGGAGAAAATGATTGACCAGCAAGAGAAGACGATGCCCGAGTCAACCCGGTCAAATTCTGCAAACTGAACCCTTGTCTCGCGTTAGAGCAGGCGCTTGCGGAGTCGAGGAAGGGATAAAAACAGAAAAGAAAAAAAAAGAAAAGAAAAAAAAAGAAAGAAAGAAAAAGAAAAAGAAAAAGAAAAAGAAAAAGAAAAAAAAGAAAGAAAGGAAGAAAGAAAGAAAGAAATCTCCTCTCGTCGATTTGGTTGCCTGGGACCTCTCTTATACAGCTTGTATAGCTCTCCCAAAGTGACGGACTGAATAGACCAGCGAAGAGGAATATATTTCCCGGTTTTCCAAAAAAAAAAAAAAAAAAAAAAAAAAAAAAAAAAAAAAGAGAGAGAAAAAAAGTCACGCTTTCCAGGCGGGTTTGTAAGGCTTCCAGCGACAACTAGACAACTAGAAACTAGACAAAGTGTGTAGGTATTTATCCTTCTTCGGGTACAAATATAACTTTGTACAAGACCCTAAACACGCCGCCGTCCGCGGAAGATAGCACCTCTAGGATGCAAAGGCCGGCGGACCAGCAAAATGCGATGCGGGTTTACCGGGGGAGCGGCGCCACGAGCAGCACAAGGATCTAGGATGTTTTCGAAGGACAAAGGACAGATCCGGGGGTCGGTAGGGGAGAGAAAAGCTGGCTTTTACTATTGGGGGTGGGATGGAGCAGACAGGCGGCTTACGCAGTAGTAGGTAGGGTAGGAGGTAGGGTTGAAGTAAATATAAATAATAAGCAGGGCGGACAGCGATTGGGGCGCTCGATCGGCGGAGTGGGACAGGACGCAGGAGGCCTCGATCACGTTGTTTTCGGCGCTGCGAATAGAATCCGGCGGACAAGGATTGGGGGTTGATATGGAGGACGGGGGACGGGGGAATGGGGAATGGGGAATGGGGAGGGGAGTGAGGCAGAGAAGTGGAGCGGGAGGTGGCGGTGATGGTGATGATTCAGTTGGTGTTGTTGGCTTTGCTATTGGCGACGGCGGGCGCAGGCAATGGGTAAGTTAATCAATGCAGCCCTGGAACGGAAGACGAGACGAAAGTTAAGGATGGACAATCAGCAGCGTGGATGTTCAGCAGCGCATGGAAGAGTGCGGTGTGATGTTGGTGTAGTGTGGTGTGGTGTGGTAGGGTAGGGTAGGGGAGGTTAGGGGGGAGTCTTTTCTACAAGTCAATGAGAGAGAGAGAGAGTTAATAAGTTGTTAATTGGGAAAAACAAATCGCAGCAATTGGGGGCCGAAGCAGCGGTGGGACAGCGAGAGCCAGAACAGAATGCTGACGAGGAATGCTGCAGCTGCAAAGGGAAAAAATGAAGGGATTCCAAGAGACAAGAAGAATAAATAGGATGGAGAAAAAAGGGAGGGAATTTGGGCGGTTTTTTTTCTTTTTTGTCTTTTTTTTGTCCCTTTTTTTTTTTTTTTTTTTTTTTTTTTTTTTTTTTTTTTTTTCCCTCTCCACGCACACACAGACACACAGAGAGACTGACAAGAGTTTGTTTAGACTCAACAGAAGAAAAGAAAAGAAAAGAGACGGGCCATGGAAGTTTGACTGTTTAGCTCAGAGAGTAGTGTGTGGCTGAGAAAGTATATGGCAGCATTGGATGAGATTTAGATTAGTTAGTTATAGTAACTATTAACTAGTTAGAGAAAGGCGGAGATTTCAATTAATATCATTTCAATGCTTCTGATCAGAGAGATATTGGATATTTCCCAGAACATCCATATATCCAATTGATATCTAGATGTGATTCTAGAATTGAGAGTACTGTTACAGGCCTTGACAGCAATTGAACACTGTTCAAAGCTTCATAAACGGGATAGAAGATGACTAGTTACTTCTTCTATTTAAGATTATATGTATGAATATATGCATTGGACATGAAGGCATGAAACTGTAGATACATACATTTTCTCAATTCTCTGAAAGACCTATCTGATAACTCCTCTCACTACATCCAACTCAAAGGAGAAAAATAACAATGAGTCTGAACTATTTATGTCAAGAACAAATTCCTTCTCTACAGACAGTAAATTTGTTATAATATCTCAGCCTAGTTCTTCCAAAAAAATATACATACCTTCATGAGCTATTTTCATTACTAAAAGACTTTACGAGCGCATCGTAGCATCAGCCACAGCGCGCAAAGTCTAGATTCGCCAGTTTCTAAAAAAGAGGCCGACATCTTGGCTGGAAGTGTCAATGTGTGTGTGTATATATATACGTATATATATACGTATATACAGCGTATATACAGCGTATATGTGAGTTGAAGCATATCAACAGTATCAACATTCTATTTGTTAAGTTATTTGTTGGTGGTAGCTGCACAGTATTATTTATTATTATTTACCTAACTACAGGTTTGCTGCTAATTATTTAATAATAACTATCTATCCTCCGGACGCATTGAGCAGTTGATCCTTGTCAGACCAGTTTCTCTGATATAGTTAAATATCCCGGATTCGCTCTTCGTCCCGTTCTTTTTTGGTTCTTACTCTGAATGAGTCCATTATTGAGAATTTGAAGAAATGTGCAAAAGGAAAAGAAGCGGAGGAAGGACTCGGATCACACCTCTCAAACAGTTTCAGTATTTAAGTGTCAAGTGTTCATTCATTCAGTCTAGAAACAACTCATGGACCCCTTTCACAGTTATTTAATTTCAATTCCACTTCCACCTTCCACACAGCGAATAAATAGCCTTGAAAGAGATACGTAAAATTATGATCTATCCACTGGTTTACTATATTTTATCATTTGATCCATCTATTATTATTTATGAAAGCTCCCTGCGTGAAATTTCCAGCCTTCTAGCGGTCAAAATATACTTCCATTCCATCACTGGGAGCGGTGACTTGACTGTTCTTATCCTAGGAAGGGCGGCGGTCAGCTCAATGCCATGCCATGCCATGCCGCCAAATACGTAACTAAACCTAGTCAACCATCCCATCCTATCCTGACACACTTCGAGTTTTGGATTTTTGGATTTTTGGATTATTATTAGTTATCTAAGTTAAAAACTTTTCCGGTTGAGGCGGGGTACACTCAAGGTTTTGTTTGTATGCTTCCTGTCCCTTGCATCTAAAATATCAATCACTGTCAGGGAGAGAGAGCTCTGCTTGTTCGTATTAACTATTAAACAGACATAGCTTGGAATCCTCTTCCGCTTGCAAAAAATGCGGTAATGAGCAATATTTACACCCACTTACTCCTGTTGAGATAAGAGATTTTGGGTCAACTGGTATAAAACTTCAGGAGTAAAGTAATAATAATGGGAAGCGGTATCTCTTCTTAAAATTGAGCTAACTATCAGTCTCGATCTCTCTTACCAGTGACTGTTTGCCTGGGGCTTCAAATAAGTTTAAATAATTTGAACGGCTCATTGTAGCCTCCTTCTCTTCTATTTATTTATTTATTTATTCCTCTCTTGATTTTTGCTGTCAGCAGAAGGGAGCCCCTTCGTTCGCTCAGGGGCGTCGAGTTGAGTCAATTGTATCCCACAAAAAATTCCAATATCTCCTGAAGCTGAATCATTCAGAAGTCCATGCGAAAGAAAAAGAAACAAAAGACAGTGAAAATATCCACCCATGTAGTATTAAGAAACTGTTGGAGGTTATGTTAGTTAGCTGAATACTAGCCTTGCATCAGCATCAGCCTCTGGCTATCCCCCAAATCCCAAATCCCATTCTTCCCCCATTCTTCCAAACACTAGACCATAATAATATCTCCGGAGGGAGTAAAAGCGACGGCATCCCCTAATGCTTCTCAATTTGTTATAGTTTTCGCTTGGTGAGATCCTCGGCCAATTCCAGTGCTCCCGGCGTCATAGCCCACGCGGGATAGATATATCGCAGCATTACCTGCACCTCTGATAGTGTGCCAGGCGAATACATACCAGGCATCGCATGCAAATGTTCTTCCGGCTCGAGCAGAACTTCCCAAAAGTGCTTGTTGGAGCTGTGGATCGCCCTGTAGAGTTCCTTGACCTGCCCTTCTAACAATGCAACCGCCGCCGTATGATCGCCGCGGTGTAAGATTTCCGCATTATTCGCAATGATCGAGCTGCGCAGCTGGCGGGCGTCAGCCATCACCGCGCCGGCCGCGCTTGTGCTCTGCATATGCAAGTCCTTCAGATCCAAAAGCATCCGGACCTTAACCAACATAACCCCCGCGCCAACACACACACATCGAGGAACGGCGGTGACACACATACCCAACATCCTCGAAGGCATCCGCACCCTTCACGTCCAGGAACGGCAGCTCCATATCCCCCCAGTCGTAATCGCCCCGCTGGCCCATCGTTCTCGTACCACTTGAGGAAATCATAGCACTCCGGATCCATGCCCAGCTGTAGCATCGCGCCCGGCATCGCGCTGCGAATGCCAACGGTGTCACTGCGGCTCAGACGCAGCATGTCCCTCGCGTGCTCCAGCTGCATCTGCACCGACTCGCGACTATCGACGTCCAGCAGCGCGTGGATAAACGCGCTCCGCGCACGCATGTACGGGCGCATGCCCCAGAATTTGGCCGCCGACCGCTGCTTGTTGAAGACGTCGCCTGGAACAGAATGTCTGCCGGGCATGTCGGCG